AATAATCCCTGGCCTTCGAGACATCTCAAGAACGTGTAACTTAGGCCAATCGCAGTCCTCCAGTCTCTCAAGACCCCATTCAGAGAGGACATGTAACGTTGGACCGATAAGAAGCCTCTTTCGAGTTTCATGAACCATTTCAGTTGGAACGTGGAACGTTAGGCCTATCAAGATGCTCCTCGAATTATCGCGAATAGTTCCACGGAGAGAACGCCTCTAGAAAGCACGTAAGTTTAATGGAAGCTGGGTTCCTTCCTGTTAATTTTGAGATGTTCGGAATATCTCCATATTCCACCAAATCGTAAGGCTACTGCTACCCATCGTTTCGTTCTCACCTCATCTCATGAACAATTTACAAAAATTTATCATAAATAAAAAAAACAGCAAATGCAAACGTCTATACTAAGCCAGAAGTTATGAATCTTCCGTAACTCCGGCACGGTAGCAAGCGACACTGGCGGAGAGACCAGATCCATGACGCTAGGCCTAAGTGAACGATAACTAATATTTTTATATGGCGAAATGGTGCACCGCAAACAACAAAAAGTTCACTTTTCGTTAACTAGTTCTCAGTGTTGCCGGATATCGTGCCGAAATCATGCCAGATTCAAGACTACTTCAGCCTTCGTATTGGCTTCTGGATGTTCTGTTTTTTTTATTGTGATATATTTTTCGTGCTGAGTTCATGAGTTGAGCTGAGAATGAAGTTGTATTTGGTAGTGATTGATGGATGTGGTGGGATATGGATATATATTATACGGACGTCATTGAATTAACACATTGACTGCCATGTCATGCACATGTGGCTGACAGAGCCATAGCGTGTCGCGAACCCTGGCAGTGAACAGGATGTCAAAGTGTCAACAGGATGGCGCGCAACGGGGATTCCCTTCTTTCTGGAGGCCTTCCTTCCTCAGACCTATTCGAGATGGTTTGATGAACTCCAGATAGGCTTAACGTTCCACGTCCGCATTGAAACGGGTCATGAAACGCGAAACAGGCCTTAAATCGGTCTAACGTTACACGACCTCTCCGAAATGGTTCGTGAAATTATGAATAGGCCTGCAATTGGCCTAAAGTTACGTGTTCTCAACGAGATGTCTCTAATACCACTTACCTTCACCCTTATAGGCCTAATTGGCACCATAAGTCCAGGATTGAGTTTCTTTTGAAAGGGAAAAGGTGGCCCTTAGCTTGATCTGAAGGCACTCTGTTAAGCCTACCCCTGACGTTTATGAGTCCCATAGGGAAGGGGGGAGGGGGTGGAGCTGAAGAAAGGGAAATCCATTGAAAATTGGTTTTCAAGCTATTTCAATCTCACTTTAATCTAACCCGTCCACGATTTGATTCTCGTGCGCAATATTCGATGGGAATATGAATTCAATTCCGGCTTCTACTCTCAGTTACCTATGTGGAAGATTGCTATCTTTTCTTTCTAGGTCCTTGAAACGAAGATAGCATTTCATTAGTATGATGGGTATGGCAAGTCTGTTGGTGTTGGTGCTGGTTGCATTCACCAAATTTGGCTTTCAAGAAGTGAGTTGAATCTCTTGTCCCCGTTCAGACGGTTATGCATAAAGAAAATTCATGGGAAAAAAGTTATGAGGAGAAAGTAAAAAAGTGAGACAAATAATGGGCATGAATTGAGCTAGGAAATTGTGTGTTCGGGGGAATCAAGCAATATATTGTAGAAAGCCAGGAGCAAGATGATAATTTCAAACTAGAGTTCTCCTTTTAAGTAATACTATGCTGATTCCCAGGATGAATTAAAAGTGAGGTTTTTTCATTTTATTTTAAATACTAGTCATGTGGTCCTCCTTCGAATCCTTTTTTCGGGCTTGCAATAACTTAAAATGAAAGGATACGTTTTGAACACAAGAGAGATTTTGAGGCGGTGCGTGCGTCCATTATGTCCTTCGTTTCTCCAAGTAGGGAGATACAGCAGTGGCAATAGTACTAAAGAGAGAGATGCAGCCTTTCTTACGATCGTGAGTTGGTGGAGGGGAGGTGAAGCTATCAATCTCGGCAAAAAATAGATATTACTTGTAGTTCAACAGCTCATCGCATTGGAATCAAGAAAGGGCTCGGTAATCATCGTCCGAAGTGTTTCTCCAAGAACGCGCTTAGCTTGCATAACAAAACGAAAGAGTTTCGGGTGTGGGGAGCTCGGGATAGTTTATGATGTTATGGTAATTATTTAGATTTGGTGGAGTTCACGCTCCCTTGGGACTCTCAACACGGCTTTAGGAGGAGTCGAAATTGTCTCACCAATTTGCTGGAATTCTACGACTGGGCGACGGAATAGAGGGATAAGGGGAATCCCGTGGCATCGTCTATTTAGATTTCGCGAAAGCTTTCGATTCCGTTCCTCACAAGAGGTTGTGTGTTAAACTGGAGGCGCACGGGATCCAGTGTAGGACGAGCGAGTGGATCAGTAGCTGGTTGGCAGGACGAGAGCAACGGGTGATGATGAATGGGGAAGCGTCGAAGGTCGGAGTCGCAAGCGGTGTCCCTCAAGGCGAGGTCCTTGAACCACTTGTTTTTGGTGTACATAAACGATTTCGATCCGGGCGTAGAGGGTAATATGAGTAAATTTGCCGACGACACCAAGATAGGTACCCTTATTTGTAGGCCTCCAAAACTGGATGCAATATTCCAACTGGGGTCTTATCAGCGCCGCATACAACGGAATAATTACGCGAGATGTCCTACTTGCAACCGATCGACGAATGTAACCTAGAATCCTGTTGCACTTGACCACCGTTGCTTGCGCGTGCGAGGAAAACATCACGTCCTCATCGATAGAAACACCTAAATCTCTCTCTCCGTTTGCTTCATCCAATTTAACATCGCCGAACGTGTCGAGTGACCTACCGTTTTTTCGACCGACGTGGAGAACTTTACACTTACTTTTACTAAACCCCATGAGCCATTTCTTGCTCTACTCGTCCAAAAGACTTAAATCTCGCTCGGCTCGAGCCCTATCCGCCTCCCCCCTTATGGTAAAACCTATCTTGGTGTCGTCGGCAAATTTACTTATCTTACCCTCTACGCCGAGATCCAAATCATTTATGTAGACCAAAAACAGAAGCGGTCGGAGGACCTCGCCTTGAGGGACACCGCTTGCGACTCCGACCTCCTTCGACGCTTCCCCATTTATCATCACCTGTTCCTCTCTTCCTGCCAACCAGCTACTGATCCACTCGCTCGTCCTACCCAGGATCCCGTGCGCCTCCAGTTTAACCAGCAACCTCTCGTGAGGAACGGTATTAAAAGTTTCGCGAAATCTAAATAGACGATGTCCACAGGATTCCAGTCATCCCTCTCTTCCGTTGCCCAGTCGTAGAATTCGAGCAAATCGGTGAGACAATTTGGACGCCTCCTTAAGCCGTGTTGAGAGTCCCAAAAGAGCGCGTTTCCTTCCAGGAAATGCAAGAGATGGTCCCTTAATATGCTCTCTATGATCTTCCCTGGGATACTCGTCAGACTTACCGGCCTGTAATTTCCTGGATGACTCTTTTCGCCTTTCTTAAAGATCGGTACGACGTTTGCTAGTCTCCAGTCCTGAGGTACTTCCCCCGCGCGAAAAGTTGCTTTCAAATATGATTCTTAGCCGAACCGATATTTTTCTCGCGATTTCCTTAATGACTCTCGCCGGAATCCCATCAGGCCCGGTCGCCTTGCCCAACTTAAACTTCCCAATCATACTCATGATCGTCTCCTCGGTGATGGAAATATCTTCGATGCGCGCTGAGGTCACCTCCTCCAATGTCGGTGCCAAGTCTGATTCGACAGTGAAAACGGAAGCGAAGAACTCGTTAAGTATACTGGCCATATCCTTATTACTTGCATTCAAATCCCTCTTTTCGTTCATTAGCGGCCCGATTGACTGTTGACACCTACCACTAGCATACCGATAAAAAGCCTTAGTGTTCTTCTTATCTTCACTAGCCAGCCGTCCCTCGACCTCCCGTCTCACAGATCTAATCTTTCGCTTCAACGTCCGCGTGATCCTGCTGTATTCCTCATAGTCCGTGCTATCTCCCGTGCGCTTGTACGCATCCCATTTCCGCTTTTTATCCCTGATGAGAGCTTTGATTTTACCTGTAAACCAGACCGGTTGCCTGCCCGATTTTATGGTTTTCTTGGGGATGCAATCCTCTATAATGCCCTGCAATTGCGTCTTGAACGCTATTGCTCCTCTAACGTCACGGAGCCGCACCTCCCAATCGATGCCTGAAACACATTCGCAGAGTCTCTCGAAACATAATTTATTTTACTTCGACGAAACGAAAAAACGTAAAAAAGTTGAAAATGGAATAAGCAACAGTAATGAATATGAGCAACATATATGAAAATAAGCAACAATATGCACATTTGAATAAAGAGTCTCTTCAACTGAGTGGACTTGGACTCTTTCGCCCTTGAGGTGCATGAGCATAAACAACTGGCTAGGCATGTGGTCATTGTTTCAGGAATCATTGGAGTATATGAGGACTTTCTCGCTCTCGTTTGTCTGACAAGAAGATCAAGCTGGATTTGTCGCACATTGGTATGGAAATGGAAAACGTAGAATCCATCCAGATATGGAATGAAGTTTCGCTGCTCCAATGAAACCAAGAACGAAACCCCAAGCAAGCCGCAAAAAAAAAGTCAGTGAAGGGATTGGACTACTTTCGAGATGATTGGGCGTGAGAAGACTTCTTTATTACGCAACCCTAGGGCAGAGGATTCCATCCCAAAGCACTCAAAAATGAAGTAGGTGGTTATGACAAGGATATTCTTATTATGTCCATGAAAACTAACTGCGTTATATCAAGCCGATAGGACGCATAAAATATTGAAATTTCATGCTGTTTCACATATTTATTGTATTATTTTCATAAGTTCAAACATATTTTCATGGGAAGTGAGCTGAGATATAAAGGCATGAGAAAATGTATCAATATGTCATGATTGAGTTGATTATGTTCCCACACCATTATTCACAGCATATCCCTCTAGTCATAATAATTCCTAGGTCGTGTTTCCTTGTTGTCCAGGGTCTTCGCTGCATAATAAAAATTGTCCTTGAAACAGATGCCAAATATGCCTGATACATTACTGGATGAAATATTATGTAAAGAGTAGAAAGCATTAGTTAAACATATTTTTCACATGGGATATAACAAGTAACCAACAAAATGCGTCAAACCACGGAGAAGTCCATTATCCAAGTAGACATCTAAAGTGTCGCCCTTGAGAAGATGGAGCATAAAGGTTTGCCCAGGCATCTGTTCGTGAACATCATACGCTCCGTTGGAATAGTCATGAGAGTAGATATGTGCTTTCTGGTCTCCATTTTTTCTGAAGTAAAGCATAAGGACCGTGCTGTGCGTCCAGGTATGAAAATGAAAAACATAGATGCCATCCAGAGGTGCGGTGAAGACTCCGCTGCTGGGATTCATCCCCCCGCCGATGTTCACTTCTGTCCCGCTGAAGTGTATGACTCCTCCCGCTTTGCCCGCTGCGTCATATACATCGAAATAAACGACTTCTCTTGCAATACGAGCACTGGTTCCCATCTGAAACTTCGGGTCGGTCTCTTCCAAATCCATTCTGCACAGAACCACATCCAGCCGCCCTTTTTTGTTGGTGATGAGGTGATAACCCGTCTCAGCGTTTCCAGCTTGACGGAGCGATGAACAAGATTCAGCAGGATTATCCGGTGATGGAGCCTTGCCTCGACAAACCAATCCGCCGAGGTTGTGGCTAGCCTTCTGCCCATCAAATTGTAGCCCCCCGAATCGCAGCTCGGTTATAGGCAGTGCTGTTCTGTTCCTGATTGTTCCCGTGTCTGACTCCCACTGGGGGGCTTCTGCATCGCAATTGCATGAAGAGCTGCGGTGAATGCACTTTTTGGAAAGGCCGCAGTTACACACGTGTCGACCTGCGTTCGATCCGTCCCAGTAATATTGAGGGTTGCCGTGCCGGTCCTTCCACCAGGCATTGTGTGTATCCCCAGAACTCAGGGCTGTCCCAAAGCAGTCATACTGAAAAGATTCAAGGTTGTGTCTCAATTGCCAGAAACCATGTTTCGCAAGTTTTTAAGAAAATAATAATAATTTATTGGGGTGGGATAATTTCAACGTTCAAAATTCTTCATAAGGAGTAGTTTCGCATGTGTAGTCTGAGGAACTTCGATCACAGATTGATGCACTAAATTCGCATAAACGAATGTTGACGAAATGTTCCCTCCCGATATTCCTTTAATAGTTTATGTGGAGCAAACGAGAGAAGCATGCAAACATGACTTTAAGTGATACATACAAGTGGCTTAGAAAAATCGTTGCCCTGATGAGAGCTGCTTCATTGTCTCGAAAAAAATATTAACTTTATTTTAGCCTTATCTGGCCGATTCGATAGTAAGTAACTGACTGACCGGGTGCTGACGCTAATATAACCTTGTTCTTCATATGGTATGAACTTGAATCTTGGGAAGTAAGTAGCCATTGGACTGTTGAGTTCAGGAGAAATCCGACTTTGAAGGAACATGCGTTTTTTACCAGTGGACATTCATAATGAATATTTTTTCTTCAGAAAATCCGGCTCAAACATGAATCCAAATATGACACTTGACCCGCAATACCCAGCAAACAAATTGAAACGCATAACGTTGCATAGATATTGAATCAACATTGAGTAGACTTTAGGAAAGTTCACACAAGGTTTTCTCCTTGTTTTCTGTGTGCTCTGATGTTGACTTCGGTATAATTATTTTCGTTGACGAACGTAGCCGGGGAGACGTTTTTAAATTATATGTGTTATCCAAATACATTTTATTCAAGGGAATTGAGTATATGAGATTGGGAATCATGTAGGCTCTACATCTTGGCATTCTTATTCCGGAAAACGTTTAATTTTGAAGCAAGTCCTTAGGTACTTTAATGCAATTTTTGAAACTCAGCAAAGCAAAAAATAGAAAAGTTAACATATAGTAATCCTTTATTTCTCACGATACTAAATTCAAAACATTTACTACTTGGTGATACATTGTATCATGCCACATTTTCAGGGGGGAAAGTATTTTTGAAGAAATTGTCTCGTTTCATCGGAACGAGGAAATATTACAAATGGAAATTTGATTTTTTAAAGTGTTTATCTGAGCTTTGATATATAAAATATTTATATCACTAGTCAATCTTCCCATCAGTTCCTCCTGCATGCGACCATTAGGGGAAAGCAGGACACCTCTTTTTCACATAGCAGAATCATGGAGAACATGACTTTTTTGTTTCAAACTTATCTGAACCACTTTAAAGTGGTTCATATATTGAAAAGCAGCCTGTAGGGACCCCGTATCCCATAGAATTCCTCAATCGTTAGGGAAAAATAAGAATTCCTAATCAAACTTCGATTGGACACATTCCCACAGCATGCAAAAATGAAGATATCGATAACCTGCTGAGACAAGTTCAACTCACCGTTATTTGTTGATGGCATGACTGGGATAGATTTATTAAAGCCACCATCTGCTTCATCGATGAATTATACCTTATATGGCGACTGTAGCAACCAGGATCACCACAAGATTGGACCGCGATATTTCCCATTGAATCATGGAGGACAATGGTGGATACCGGATCTGGGAAAAACGTTTTGAGAAGACATGAGTCATAGCATATGGAAAATTCGTATACAGGATGTCCCATAAGTCGCTCTACAAATGACAAAAATTCACATTTTCTAAACATTTGGCACAAAAAAGAAGAAACATTAACCGTACGATAGCATGTCATTTTGATTTATATTTGTCAAAACCGAAGTACTGCTAAAGTTCGAAAGTGCCTCAAAGTGCCCTTCGCCTATATCAATACATTCGGCACGAGGTTCACCATCAAAATATGGCCGAAACTCCCATTTGAAATTTGATGGGACTATCAAACACTTCCCTCCATGTCGCAACATTCCTTCGTTGATCCAGCGCCAAGCAAGAAGTTTGTTTGTTTTTTATGAGAGCGAAATTAAATATAACTAAATTATTTCATTTCTGTTTATTACGTCTGTCTGGAATTAGGAGAGGAAAATATGAAGTTCCAGAACTTTTGTAAAATAGGACTCAAGAAGGTATTTCGTGAATCGCCCTAAATACGTACACCTTCAGTACATGTTTTTCAAGTAATTAATGTTTGAGTTTCAATCCATTTCATTTTGTGCATTTTTTTAAAGAACGTACTTCCCATCAATACTAAGAAAAGTCACTTGGAAAATATTGCGGTTTAAGATTCTATAATAACTTATGGGAGAACCTGTATTTCTCTTCATTATTGATGAAATGAAAATATTTTCCACTGACCTGTCTCCATGTCACATAGCACTTGTATTGGTGGGTCACCACGAAGTACCCCGTCCGGATCCACGAAGTATGTTCCTGTCTGCTTCACCCCCATGTCGGCCAGAGTTTGGCACGTTCTCGGAGCTGTCACATGAGTATCACAAGTTCCAATTCTCCAATTGTCATAGATTAGAAGTGAAACAATTCGAAATGGTCGAATATAAGAAGAAAGTATGCAATAATTTGTAACGTACTGATTTGCAGAGTTATCGTCTCTAGGTATTGAAGTCTTCCGTCTGTCAGATTCCTGTAGGAATCATATCTGTCATTCAAATATCCTTGGTTGAAAGACTTGAGATGTTCTGTGTTCTTCCTCAAGTTCTCGTAGTTCTGGCTTAGCCTCATGTTCTGTGCCTGCAAGTTCTCGTAGTCATGCCTCAGCCTCTTGTTCTCCGACATTAGATTCTCGTAGTTCTGGCCTAGCTTTTCGTCCTTCTGCTTCAGGATCTCATTTTCGTGCTGAAGGTTCTTGATGTCATTACTCAGGTTTTCATTTGCTTTCCACAGGATGTCATAGTCAACCTTGATTTGTGCGATGTGCTTCGCATGCTCTCGAGTGGTTGCTACGAGAGTTGAAACTTGTTCCACCAAATTCTTGTCATTCTTCAGTCCAATGACGGAGTTGATAGCGAGTGTCTGGAAGAGAAGTGGATAAATTGATGAAAATAATTTAGTTGTTCTTAACTTAAACGGTTTCTACTCATTATATTGCTACCATTGATTTCGAAAAATCTGCCACGCTCCAAGTTATCGATTCCTTTGATAATCTGAAGTACGAGGTATCTGGAAAAAGTCCCACCTAGTTAGGTTTCTCGAGAGCGAGAAGAGTCCCAGCGTTTCTAAAACTCCTCGTATGGAAGTCACTGCATTTACACTTTCAACTCCATAATCTACCTCCGAACGCTCTCGAGAATTGATAGATGAATTTATTTTCAGGTCCACAAAATTGAAGGCAATAGCGAAATTATAAAAATTACAATATATGCAACTCGATTGTGTATATTGTAAGAGGGACATGGAAGCTCCTATTCAATGATGGAATGCCGGATTAAGCCTGAGACTCTCTTAGGTTCGATTATTAATGCATGCATGTATGAGAACTTTTATATTACCATCGATTGCGATGATAAATTGCCGTATGGATTCCTCCCCGAGTACCGCTATGTATGACGTTACGGTTAGGGTAGGAAGAGCCTCTAAACGCTTCTCGTATGATAGTCCCCTGACCTCATTAATCATTCTTGTGGTCCTGTATGGCCTCTGTACTCCCTCGAGCGCCAAAAAATAGCCCTTATTTGTAGGTCTCCAAAACTGGATGCAATATTCCTACTGGGGTCTTATCAGCACCGCATACAACGGAAGAATAACGCGCGAAGTCCTACTTGCAACCGAACGACGAATGTAACCTAGAATCCTATTGCATTTGGCCACTGTCGCTTGCGCGCGCGAGGAAAACTTGAGGTCCTCGTCGATAGAAACTCCTAAATCTCTCTCTCCGTTTGCCTCATCCAATTTAACATCGCCGAACGTGTCGAGAGACCTACCGTTGTTTCGACCGACGTGGAGAACTTTACACTTACTTTTATTAAACCTCATGAGCCATTTCTTGCTCCACTCGTCCAAAAGACTTAAATCTCGCTCGGCTCGAGCCCTATCCGCCTCCCCCCTTATGGTAAAACCTATCTTGGTGTCGTCGGCAAATTTACTTATCTTACCCTCTACGCCGAGATCCAAATCATTTATGTAGACCAAAAACAGAAGCGGTCCAAGGACCTCGCCTTGAGGGACACCGCTTGCGACTCCGACCTCCTTCGACGCTTCCTCATTCATCATCACCCGTTGCTCTCTTCCTGCCAACCAGCTACTGATCCACTCGCTCGTCCTAACCTGGATCCCGTGCGCCTCCAGTTTAACCCGCAACAGTAGTACAGGGTGTCCATAAAAGAATGCAACGGTTTCAAAATTTAATAACTCGATGAGTAACGGATGAAACGCCGTGATCTTTGCATCGAAATGAAGGGGAAGACTTGGAGTTTATTTATATCCCGTTATAGATGTCGTTGGCAGTTCGAAATGCGCGCGCAAGGGAATTTCCTAATTGGCGCCTATTTTGACGCGCGCCTCACTCCCATCAGTACAATGGCCACCGTTCAGCAGAAGGCTCAATGCGTGCTTTGGTATGCGGAGACGAAGTCATTCATTACGGTATAGCATAATTTGTAGCGGAAAACACGATCGCCGGGGATAATTACCTTGATTGGCTACAACAATTTGTCTTCCCCCAACTCGATGGCATCGAGAGATTTCCAAATCGGTGGATTGGACGAGGTGAACCAATCGCCTGGCCTCCAAGAAGTCCAGATTTAACTCCGCTGGATTTTTTCGCGTGGGGATATGTGAAAAACATTGCCTACGCAAAAAACTGTAGAGCTGTGAATGGCGTTCACATCGAGACTTATTAATGTTTATAAATGAACTCCTAGTCTTCCTTTTCATTCTGATGCAAAAATTACGGCATTTCATCCATTATTGACTGAGTTATTAATTTTTGAAACTGTTGCATTCTTTTATGGACACCCAGTATATGTACCCACTCTGGAACTCAAGGATTTTCTTAATCATTTTATAGAAAATTGTGCTCTGGAATTTGTAGAACTCATAGGTTTTTCCTAATGATTTTATGAATTTTTATAGGAAATGTGTTTAACCCTGTTTATAGGTATTTTTAATGATTTTATGGGAAAATGCAGTCTAGTATGGATTATAGGTTTTTCTTGATGAATTTACAGTTTCTTATACAAAGAACTATAGATTAACAAGAGAATAAAGACCTAGTTCATTTATAAGAATTGTATTTGGATGTTGATTTTTGAAGGGTGGTGAAATGGGGCTCTTATCTTTGAGTCTACATTTGTAATCAACATCAACTAATTTTAATATTGCATTTCTAGATTTTATATATCCCAAAATTTCAGGAACATAATCTAGATAATATAGAATGATCTCTCTGTATTTTACATCTTTTTTTTGTCAGAATCAGGGTATCCAATTGGATACCCTAATAATTTAACGTGTGAGTCGAAATCCGCCAGAGTTCTCTGCAGGAACACCGATTCCGATGAGTAAATTTTGCACGCCGTGACGTGCAAAATGGAATATATATTTTTAATGATTTGTTTTTTTTTTTTACTGTAGTCTTGCAAGAGGTGCAAACGTAAAAAGTCGTCGAGCCGTATCTGTTTGGTCTAGAATATATCGATACGATCTTATTACATTTGCTGCATCTCATTCCCTGCTGTTGAACACCATTACTTTTTTCTTGAGTAACGGAAATAATTTTCTGGATTGCTCTCTTTCTCATTTTTTAAACGTCTATTCTCGATCTTATTGTGTCTCAAATTTTTGAATAAATATAGATTTTTAATTTTTTTTTCTTTTTAATGGAGAAATTTGGTTGAAATCAACAAGGTTCTGAAATAAACCAACTTTTTTTGTTTTTTCACTCTTATTTTTACAAGAAATATATTTTGGTTCGTCAGCTGATAGGTGACGAACCAAAAAATTTTGGCATTTACTAGACCAAAAACTTTGAGTTTTATTTCAACTCATTAAAAAGAAAATAATTTCGAAATCTGTATTCATGACTCAACATTTATCGAAAACCATAAATTATATTTAGTCCAAATGTCGGGTCAAGATTTCATTTCTTTCGATAAAAGAAATTACGTTAAATTTAATCAAGATGATTTTCTTCTCACAAAACCAAAAAGATTTAAAACAGACAAAAGTTATTCACCAGTACTCTCATACGTTAAATATAGAGGGAAAAGTTTAACCATCACACTTCCCAAAATATACGGATATGGGTTTAGTAAAGGAAATGTTAAAGGAGATGGAGAAGTAAAAGAATATATCTTCACGTTTATGATGTTTGACCTATCAGCTGACGAAACAAAATATATTTCTTGTAAAAATAAGAGTGAAAAAGCCAAAGAAGATCTTCAGTTTATAAAAGAATATGAAGATAAAAAGAGATGTTTAGAATGGATGAGAGACTTCGAAGATTGGTGTAAAGATGAGATTAAAAAGTTGATAAAAGAAAAAAACATGGAGATTGCATTTTTAGGTATGAAAGAAGAATCAGTAGGAAAGTTAGTGAAACCGTTTTTGTTCATCCAAAGGACGATAATAAAGAGATAGATGAAACAAAAGCAAGAAGACACTACATAAAATCGTCTTATAATTATGATACAAAATAATTAAAACGTTCAGCTTATAGTTTTTTTTAATAAAGAAATATATTTTTAAAAATATCATCCACGCGAGAGGAGAGGATAAATGACATATCGAAGTAAAACAAATTTATATTCGTAGGTCTGTTTCAGAAGAGTATACTGTTTATATTAAATGTGAAACAAATAAACGTGTTTTTTAAGAAACACGAAAATATTGATACAATAAATATTTTAGGAGATAATGAGGAAGACAAAGAAGGAGAAGAAGAGGATAAATTGTCTACTATTTATTCTTTTTTGATTACTTAATAAACGGGGAATAAAAAAAATTTACAAATACCTTGTGTACAAAAACGTTACAAATTATGATAAAATGAAAAACTTATATAAGTTTAGTTTAAATGATAAAATAAAAGTAAAGAAACTGTTATTAGTTATATGAGGTTATTAAAACTATAATATTAAAGATAGACGTTTAAAAAACGAGAAAGAGTACGATACAGAAAATTATTCCTATTACTCAAGAAAAAAGCAATGGTGTTCAACAGCAGGGAATGAGATGAAGCAAATGCAATAAGATCGTATCGATATATTCTAGACCAACCAGATCCGGCTCGACGACTTTTTACGTTTGCACCTCTTGCAAGACTACAGTAAAAAAAATATAAATAAATCGTTAACAAAAAAATATTCCATTTTGTTCGTCACGGCGTGCAAAATTTACTTATTCTGCATTCCCGCGAGAACGCTGGCGGATTTCAACTCACACATTGAATTGGATGCCCTGATTCTGACAAAAAAAGATGCAAAATACAAAGAGATGTTGCTGAAATTTTGGGATGTGTAAAATTCTAGAAATGCATTAAAATTTGTTGACGTTGATTACAAATGTAGACTCGAAGATAAGGGACCCATTTCACCACCTTTCAAAAATCAACATCCAAATACAATTCTTATAAACGAACTAGGTCTTTATTCTCTTGTTAATCTATAGTTCTTTGTATAAGAAATTGTCAGAAATATAAGAAAGAAATTCATCAAGAAAAACCTACTGTATAATCCATACTAGACAGCATTTTTCCATAAAATCATTAAGAAAATCCTTGAGTTCCAGAGTGGGTACATATACTACTCGCAACCTCTTTTGAGGAACGGTATCGAACGCTTTCGCGAAATCTAAATAGACGATGTCCACGGGATTCCCCTTATTCCTCTCTTCCGTCGCCCAGTCGTAGAATTCCTCCAGTCGAAGCATGAAAGGCATTCGCGTAGTCTTTCGAAATTTGCCTTCTTATGGTTGT